GTGGCTGGCCTCGGAGCTTGGGTGTGCAGCTCACCTTTCCTTCTCACCCTGTCGTCGTCCTTTTCTTTCGTGTTTTACTTGATAAAGGGAATGTACCTTGCAAACCAAATTCCTCTCTGCTGCTGCTGCTGCTAGCCCTCCATGTTGCCTGGAGTCTCTCCAGGGAACACTCACAGCAGGAGCTTTGAGTCACTCTAGGCATGGTAGTCAGTGTTGCCTCAGAGGGGGGACCTTGTTCAGCACTTTACATTTGATTCTTACTGTTCTGGAGTAGGACAGGTTCCATGCAGTGTTCCCAGGTTGGTATATTTTAATTTATAATAACTGTTATTTTCAAATGTGTTCAAGCTTCTGAGTTGGCTATTTTAATGTTTTGACTAAAATTGTTTTTACTAAATGCTGGAGTTATTTTTGTCTCAGAAGCTAAATCAGTGAGTACCCCCGGCCCCACGCCCATTCCACACTCCTTCGCAGTGGCTAAGTTTTGTTGCTTCCTTTAAAGCCTTATGGTTTATGGCTCTTTTACTGCCTCTCGAAATATTCTGAAAGGCTAACATTTGCTCTCTAAGATGGCTTGTTTTAACGTTCAGTGTCTGCTCTTGCTGAGTGTTAGAATTTGGCTAAAAGTTTCATATCTGATTGGAGAGTCAAAAGAAAGTGACTTGAATAGAAAGTACAATGTACTGACGCTAAAACAGCCTTTGAAGACTCATGAAGCGCTTTAAGTTGAGATATTTTTGTAACACTCAAAAGTATTAAGTTATATAAAATATATGACATCACCAAAATCTTTCCCTGGGTAGCTGCTGTATAAATGCTAATGCAGTAAAATTTGGGGTTGAACAGTGTTGCAAATGGTGCATTCTGATGCTGTCATTTATTTCAATGCAAAACTTTGGTGATGCCCACTCTTGCCTCACAGTGCAGATTTCTTCCCCTGGGGTAGAAGCATCACATCGCTTCTCATGATCCTGTCATCTCATGCTTCCAGTTGGCTTTGGTGTTGGGTGACTCTCAGGGCGGTGAACCAATGGTCTCTGAGCAGCCTCCCCTGGCAGCTCCATGGGTTATGGGGCTCAGCTGTGTAGCCAGCCTTTGTGCTGCAGGTTTTGGGTGGGCTTTCTACCTAGCCCTTTCCCTCCAGTCTTTACTCTCAGGCTCTATGACTCACTGGTTTTTACCTGGCCACATCCTGTTTATGGCAAGTCTCTGGGAGACCCAGGAAATGTGGTCATTGGTTCAGTCCTCTCTGTAATGGTCAGTGCATGATGAAACATGAGATCAGTTGGAAAGATTGGATGCTGTGGTGTTACCTGCTGTTGTCATAATTCTGACTTTTCACCTGTTCTTGATATTACAGTGGACTAAAGAGGATGGACATAGAACTTCCACCTCTGCTGTCCCTAACCTGTTTGTTCCATTGAACACTAACCCAAAAGAGGTCCAGGAGATGAGGAACAAGGTGCGTACTGCCGTTTGGAAGTGGGGTTTGGGGCTGCCAGGGTGCCGGATGCTATGGGGTAGAAGGTATGCTTGCTTCTAGCAGAGGACATATTCTGCCACCACTGGTGCAGCGCTAGCCACCTTTTCATGCTGCTGCTCTGCTGGCGATGATGATGCGCACAGCTTGGGGCTCATTGAGTTTTCAACTGATGCTTGCCCAGCAGTGGTTCTGAAGTGGAAACCATGGAGCCTGATCTTAGCAGAAACAGACAGCTGCTTCTGCCTTTCAAGGTTCAGGCAGAGAGCTGTGAACATTGCTATGTCAGACCATGAGACCCCCAGCATTTACAGTTACTAGAAGGTGGGCGCATAGCTAATAGTTCCCTCCAAGTTGCTAAGTGCAGAGAAGGATTTGTACCTTGCCAGAGCCATCTGAACGGTGTGAGAAGTCAGGAGTAGCTCCTCCATGCCTGTAGTCCTCGCCCATCTGTACCCTCAAGCAGATGTGGCCTGGCCATCATGGACCCAGGTAGAAGTGCAGCTTGCACCCAGACAGAGGGATTGGAAGTGACAGCATGCCTCTTCTGTACTGCTGATATATCTTTTTCCTTCCTGTCCTCAGATTCGAGAGCAGAACTTACAGGATATCAAGACGGCTGGTCCTCAGTCCCAGGTTTTGTGTGGTGTGGTGATGGACAGAAGTCTCGTTCAGGTAAGAGCTCAGAGTGTCTCTGACATCGGTAGATGGTGCCTAAGACCATCTGCTTCACGGTTACTCCTGTCTTGTGAGAAAATGGTGTTGTCAGGTAAGTATTCTCTCCAGGCCAGCAAGCATCATTGTTAAAAATCTTTATAATCACCCAGCCGCTTTACTTGAGTTCTAGACCAAGAATAAGCATGCTGAGGGTGCGTCCACCCCTCTAGCCCTGCTCCTTATATTGCATGCATACACAAGGGGCTCATGTGCCACCAGCTTTGATACTGGGTTTTCCTGATGTCTTCAGGGACAGTGCTGTGTAAATGCTACAAGAGGGAGGGCTGATGGACCTACAAAGTGCTGCTTGGGTTGCACAGGGGTGGGTGCTTGTGTACATTTCTGTAAAAGGACTACACACAGTGGCACATCGGTGATAATTGTGTAAGTAATTATCTCTGAAAATTAAGATGCCACCTGATGCTTTCCGTCTGGACTGCAGGAGTAGATGATTATAGTTACATTTTTTGAATTTGGCCAGCTATGGTTCTGGTTTCATGTCCAGTGTCTGCACGTGCCACTGTCATCACCACCCTGTGTACTGTTGACAGCTGCCCTGCTGCATGCTCCTAGCTGGCTTCATCCTGTGCTCTTGGTTGATATTTTAAGGCTGGGCCTGGTGTGCTCTGATGACTCAGTTTACTGTTGCAGGACGCACCCCTCTCTGACTGTACGGAGACTATCGAAGGGCTCGAGCTTACAGAGCAGACTTTTAGTCCCGCTAAATCTGTCTCTTTTAGAAAGGTACTCACTGCCCTGCCCTACCTACCTGTTGGTCCGCGGTGCTCTTCTCCCTCCCTTCCCTACCCAGCTCCCTCTTCAGATGCTGTCTTAGTTGCTGAAGCAACTTGACACAGATCGTTAAGTCCGCTGTAGGATTGTAGAGGAGGGTCTCTTCTGCCTATTGTGTTTGAACAATTTCCAGCATTTGAAGTAGTTATTAGAAATGGCCCACTAGAGCCATGGAGTACATTTCTGAAGTTCCGCATGCAACTTTGGTTAGTACATGCCTTTGGGTTTCAGCGTTTCCCATATATCAGGTTTTTTATCTTTAAAACCTGATATATATTGGACATAGTAGTGCACGCCATTAATCTCAGCACTCAGGAAGCAGAAGCAGGTGAATCTTGGTGAGATTGAGGCCAGCCTGGTCTACATAGCAAGTTCCAGGCCAGCTGGGGCTATAGGGAGACCCTATGTCAAAAAATCAGGGGGAAATAAAATAAACCTAACCCAGAAAAACCTGACCCAGCACTTAGGAGACTGAGGCAGAAAGATCACAAGTTCAAGGCTTGCCTGGGCTTCATAGTAAGACCCTTTCTCAAATTAACTAAATGAATAAATAAGTAAATTAATAAGAAACAAAAACTCAAAAAAAGGGGCGGGAGGCTCATACATGGTTCCGAGCTTTGAAGTTTGGAATTTCCAAAAGCCTTCTTCACACAGCACCTTCCCTGAGATTCAAATGTCGTTTCAGTGGTGGTGTGATTGCCGGTCTACTTCAGAAACATACTGAGATCCTGAGTCCTGCCTGGAATCTCTGCTTAGTAACATTAGTTTGCATTTTTTTCAGTTATGTATTAATTCAGTGGGTCTTGTTTTCCCATCCTTCCTTACTTCTACCTCTCCTGAAGTGAAGGGTCTCCTCAGAGAAGGCAGAAAGAGAACTCTATTCGCACCATCCGTTTTTTCTGTTGGTACTTTGGGCCATAAGCCATGTGATCTGTTCTAGTTGCTTTGAAAAAAACACTGACAAAAACCAGGTTGGGGAGGAAATGCTTTATTTCACCTTATATCTGACAATCCTTCATGGAGGGTAGCCAGGACAGGAGCTCAGGGCAGGAACCTGGTTGGTGGAAAGAGAAGAGAGACCATGGTGGAACCCTGCCTACAGGCCTGCTCCTCTGGCCTTGCTCAGCCTGCTTTATGTCAGCAGGTCCACCTGCCCACGAGTGGCACCGTCCAATGGACTGGGCCCTCCCACATCATTAAACAATCAAGAAAAACTCAAAGGCATGCCTACAGTTTAGTCTGTGGAGGGGATTTCCCAGTTGAGTCTCCCTCCTTTCCAGATGTGTAAAGTTGACAGCAGAAGCCAACCATGACATGACCCTGTCAGTTAATAATCTCACTCTGCAGTCTGTGAAGGTGTATGTGGTCTGCAAACCTACATGCCAGTCTGTGGTGCAGTCCCTTTGCTTTGCAGGCTGCAACAGTAGAAGTAGTTGCTCTTCTTTCTTTTGGGCCTTGTGCATTTCATGGGTTTTGTGGCCTTGGACTGCCTGGACAGCAAGCAGCTGGGTAGCCAGCTCCATTAGAAGATGTGTTGTGGGCTGGTTCCTTATCTGGTGACAACTTTATTTGCTTTGCTCTAGCCACATTTAAATGTGAGCAAGTCACATGTTCTCTGAGGATGTGATCAGTAGAGTGCATGTTATATTGGTGGTACCAGTCAAAGAGGTGTTGACTTCCTGTATGAAACTTATTTTGGGGATCTTATGCTGTGGGTGGAACATGGGCCTTTGCGTGTAACAGACAAGCACTCTTTCATTCAGCTACACCCAGTTTGTACATAAGTTACTATTCTACCTTATTAAAAAATATAAGCTCCCTGTATTAGCCACTTGTTATTGCTGTGAGAAAGCACCCAACAAAAGCCGCCTAAGGAAGGTTTATTTTGGCTCATCATTTGAGAACGCCTATGTCCTAACTCCTTCCCAGTAAGGCTGGCATGGGGAGACTTGCTTCTCATTTGAGGACATGAGAAACAGGGCTTCCAGACGTAGGGACTTGTGGTTTTTCTGGAAGGGATCTCTTCACCTTGGGTTTCTCCCTCTTTGGTGGTGGACGTTTACCCAGTTACCTGCCCCAGGTCAAGGAGTTACCAGATCCTTGAGTTTTGTACAACCCAATATGGAACCTGTAACGATTTGGATCACTTTCTGGTTTTATTGCAAGTGGATTGAGTGGTTACAGACAAGGATACAAAGGGCTCTGCTGCCAGCTGGCCACACTAGGAAAGGACCGTACAGTCCAGTCTGTACTGTGTCCACCTCACCAGGACCTTTATGCTGTGTGGCAGAAATGCCAAGGAAAGCCTGCCTCTGTACCCCATGGTCTTGCAGTAAGCGCCTTGCGTGTGCATGACCCAACACTGTAAATGCCTTTCACTCTTTCTTTGATGCTTAAGGACAATTTTATTAGTTTAAGAGAAAAACAGAGTACAGATTAGATGAAAATCCTGGCAGTTGACAAAAAGGCGAAATAGAAAAAAAAAAAGTCATGTCTTTTTTTTTAGTCTTTTTGAGACAGTCACCCTGTAGTCCCAGCTGGCCTGGAACTCACTATGTAGACTAGGCTAGACTTGAACTCTCAGAGATTCGCCTGGCCTGCCTCTGCCTCCAGAGTGCTGGGATTAAAGGCCTGCGTCACCACAAACAGCCAAAGTCATGTCATGTCCTTTTAGTTAGACAACTTATTAAGAAGGGAAAAGCTGGCCAGGCGTGGTGACACACACCTTTAGTCCCAGCACTTGGGAGGCAGAGGCAGGCGTATCTCTGTGAGTTCGAGGCCAGCCTGGTCTCCATAGCAAATTCAGGTCAGCTAGGGCTACAGGGGGACCCTGTCTCAAAAAAGGAAAAAAAAAAAGAAGGGAAAAGCAGTCCCAGTAGTGAAAGGTGAACCAGAGGGCTGAGGAAGAGTCCCAAAGCCCTAAGTCGGTTTTAACAGGTGAAAACCTGCTGTTCAGAGGGGTCAGGCCACTGAGCCAGGTGTACATAGCTTTAGGCATGGAGCTTTTGTTTTACTCATAGGCCTCAGTCAAAGTGCAGGAATCCTTAAAGGTCCAGGTGTGGTGGCGCCACTACACCTTTAATCCTAGAAGAGTCCGGAGGATCTCTGTGCATTCCAGGCCAACTAGGGCTACAGTGAGACCTTGTCTCAAAAAACCAAACCAAATCAAACCAAACAGCAACAACAGCAAAACCCCTAGTTACTGGACCTCTGTTTTGCTTTGGAGGCCCTGGAGGCCCTGTGGGGTGAGCAGGAAGCATTAAGCTTCCCTTATCCCCCTGGGAAGACCAGCCACCTCCATGCCTTCTTAGTCTGGGCTCCTGTACACAGCCAGGCCCCTGAGTTGCAGGCATAGCTCAGAGTCAGGCCATTCTGCCTGAGTTCTGGTCTCAGTTGGTTGGTCTTATCAGGACCTTTAGCCAGGCCCCTGAGTTGCAGGCATAGCTCAGAGGCCATTCTGCCTGAGTTCTGGTCTCAGTTGGTTGGTCTTATCAGGACCTTGGCTGATGCAGTTCTGCTGTGATGCCTCTTGTGGGCCAGCTATCCCAGCATGGGGTGGCCTCCTTGTCCTCTGGGACATCAAAACTTGGAGCAAAGGCTTTGCTCTCAGTGCAGTGGACTCTGCTACTTTGTTTTTCACTCACTGTGAGCACATTTCTCAGGCCTCACACCCCTCTAATCTTACTGGGAGTGATGCCAGCACCTTTCATGTTTATAGAATGCTGCTGTTGCCGGGATCTTGCAGCTGGCTGCCTGACAGGCTCCTCTTATGGACAGTCAGGCTGAGGTCTTTGGGCAGTAAGGGACCTCAGCCAGCATTAACAAGTGGCAGAATTCGACTCCCTCTCTTGCTATGGCAGGACTGCTGCTAAATGAAAAGCCAGTCAGCTTAAGACCAGGCCTGGTCAGAAGAGTCCCATTCCAGCAAAACTGCTTATTCTCAAAGACCGGCCCTTCTCTCCTGGAAGCCTGTGTCATTGCTTAGCTATAGAACCCTCCAAATACAGTGTCCCTGGTGACCATGCAGCCCAGATACTCCTGGTTCTCCAGCCTCTGCCTGAAGAGCAGTTGCCAGTGTGGACCAGCTGTCGACACCCAGCACTGCCAGGACGCAGGCTCCCTCTGATGTTCACCCCTCACCAGCGTGGGCACCCAGGTTCCAGGCCGGGCAGCCGGATAATCTGGAATTTCTCTTTTCGTTTTTTAAAAAAATATTTATTATTTTTATTTTTATGTGTATTTGTGTATTGCCTGCATGTAGGTAAGTGAGCCTGTGTCATGCAGTGCCTGTGGAGGTTAGAAGAGGCTGTGGGATCCCCTGGGACTGGAGTTACAGACAGTGGTTAGCTGCCATGTGGGTTCTGGGATTTGAACCTGGATCTTCTGCAAGAACAACCAGTGTTCTTAACCGCTGAGCCATTTCTCCAGCCCCCCTCTGTTTTCATTTGTATTTATTTATTATTTATTTATTAATTTGCTTTTGGAAGCTGATGCTAAATGTGTGTGTGACTTCTGGGTCATGTTTTCAAGAGCCCCAGAGCACCTGAGGGTCACTTTCTTCTTCTAGACCTGGCCAGGCTGAACTGTTGGCACAGGGCATCCCTGAGGCAGGTGTGGGGGCAGCCTGCCCTCTGACTCTCTCTGGTGCCTGCTTGGGCCCAGCCAGCCCTCCGTACCCCACAGGCAGTGGTGCCCTGTGCAGTCGGCTGTCTTCTCTTCCATAGTGGCTGAGGAACTGTCGAAGTGCTTTGCTTGCGTGCTTGCTTGTTTCATACAGATTCTCATTTTCCAAATTCATCAGACAAACCTGTGTTTGAGGGATATTATGATAAATTCAGAAGCTGGTTGTAAATCAGTCAAAAAGGCAGAAACTTGTCTGTGTTCTACACATATAAGCAAGTCTCTACACACTTTGACCTGATTGTTGTAGCAAAGAACATTTTCTGAGGTCCTATAGGAAGGAATTCCCTTAGTAAGCATACTCAGGAAGGGTCAGCGGCTCTTCCTGTCTGCAGGAGGCCGAGGGGCTCTTCCTCCTCCGGGGGCGGGTCTTGTGCTCCTGATGATATCTCAGGGCCTTCGCTTTTGAAGCCGGCAGTCTTTGGTAGGGCGTATTTCCTGTTTTCCTGTGCTGTGTAGCATCAAGCCATGTTTCGACAATCTACCGCTAAGAGCTACAGTTTGGCCTTGGCTGTGGGCCCTGGCAGTGCGGTCCTAGGATTTCTGTGTGCTCATGGATAGACCCCTCCCCCACCTGCTGCCTGCCTGGGAGGAGGCCCCACTGAGCCAAGTGGTATGGTCCTGCCATGTCTGTGTACTCCGTGAAAGCCCTCATCTCCCCTCTGCCTGCTGCATTCCTGGGAGGAGGGAGGTCCCAACAGGCTAGGCTTCTGCACAACAAATCTCTTTTGTCCACAGGGGGAGCTGGTGACAGCCTCCAAAGCCATCATTGAAAAGGAATACCAGCCCCATGTCATTGTGAGCACCACAGGCCCCAACCCCTTCAACACACTCACAGACCGTGAGCTGGAGGAGTACCGCCAAGAGGTGGAGCGGAAGCAAAAGGGCTCTGAAGGTGAGTGCTCGGGACCTGGGCGGGGTGGCTTCCCAGAGCAGCAAGAGCTTGGGAGTGTCTCCGTGTGAAAAGTCTCAGGTAGGAAGCATGTGTTTTGTGTTTGGTTAAGACCTGAGCAGTGTGCACCTCGCATTCCCACTCTAGCCATTTGGTCAGGGTGCAGAGAATTATAGAGGTGAGCACATTTGGGCATTGTGCTTGTCCCGAGGGACATGTGTAAGGGACCCTCTTCAGTGATAAGTCCCAGACACATGTGCACTGTGGGTTTCTGCCCAGAGGGGGCCGAGCTGAAGGTCCAGCCTTGCTCTCCATGATCTGTGTTGAAGAGAGCATCGGGGGTGCTGTATGCATGCTGTGTGGCCATCCCAGTGTCCATATAGAGCTGGTTAATCTTGGGATTGCTGTCCATTTGGAGTGATAGAGTATATGCTTGCAGAATTCACTGGTTTGGATTAGTTATTGGAAAAGCTAGCGTGACTATTACATTTAAGAGACACATTTTAGGCAGAGGCAGGTGGATCTCTTTGAGTCCCAGGCCAGCTGGGGCTACAGAGAGAACCTGTCTCAAAAAGACCAAAGGAAAAAAAGAAAAGAGAGAGACAGAGAGGGAGAGAGACAGAGAGAGAGATTTTACGTGCACGGTATTTCTGCCAAAGCTTCCCTGAGAAGAGACCTCCTGATTCTCTACTGACTCATGAGCACTCACTCTTGATTGAGCAATGGCTGCCAGGTGCCCCTTGACACTACACCAAACATCTTAGCTCAGTGACCCTTAGGGATGGGCCTATCCAGCAGCTGGGGCTGAGAGGAGTGGCTCTGTGGGCCCAAGGTGCCTGTGGCAGAGCCTGGACTCAGGCCAGAGAGTAATTTTCAGCATTGGGCATTGAGGCTCCTGGTTGGACTGTGGTCTCTGTGCATGTGAATATCCTTGTTATAGTGGTTCTTACAGCTTGGGCTTTCTAGTGCAGTCCTTCATAAACCCTCCCCCATGCCAGGTGATCCATAGGTTGTGGGTTAGCGTGTTGGGGGTACTCCCAGGTAGGGGCAATCACAGGCTGTTAGTGTGTTGACTGCTCTGTTACATTCCCAAACAATGTCATGTCTGTTGCCTGCTGACAAAGGTGGTCATGATTTTTATTTATCATTTTAATTTGTATATCAGTGTATCATCTACATGTAAGTGCACCCTTGTCATGCAGTGCCCTCGGAGGTCAGAAGAGCGTATTAGATCCCCTGGAACTGAAGTTAAGGACAGTTGTTAACTCCCGTGTGGGTGCTGGGAACTGAACCTGGGTTTTCTGCAAGAGCAGCCAGTGCTCTTAACTGCTGAGCCGTCTCTCCAGCCCCAT